CTCTTCCATCCAGGCATGGATCGACGCTGGTATTCCGCCGGCCAAAATAAACGCCGGGCTCCCCTTCTACGGCCGCACAACGACCGCCAAAATTGACATTTCAAAGGAAAAGGACATGTACCAACCGCTCAACAAGCAGATCCCAAAAGGCGATGGCGAAGACTTGGAGGAAGCAGACTCGTCGTGTGGCGGTCCAAAGGCATTCTCGGGTGTCTGGAAGTACCGCAACCTGCGCTCCGAGGGCGTTCTGGATTCTGTTGACTCGGCCGTGTCGCCGTGGGTCAGGCACTTTGACCCGGAGACTATCACCCCCTGGCTGTTCAACAGAGAGACAATGGACTTTATCTCTTACGACGACACACTTAGTATATCTGCCAAAACACAACACGCTATGGACAAGGGCCTGGCTGGAGTCATGGTGTGGCCTGCCACCAATGACTATGACAATGAGCTGTTGTCTGCCATTTACGACACATTACATCAAGAATAGACTATTTATTACGAAGCTATTTAGAAAAATAAATGGAAAAATAAAACAAGCGCTTTTAATACAAAATGCACAATACTTTGATTCCCAAGTCTCTTATTTTATCTATAGTGACAGCACGGGCAAGTCACCGCTGCTAGACTTTACCACAGACAACATCAACGATGAAAACTGATTTCCAGCGACAAACTCCACTTCAGGGCCAATCAAATGTTCTCTAATCGAATGCCTCAAATCCTCCGGCACATTGCCGGACATTGCAGCCTTAACAAATGGGTGGTCTATGCCTGCTACATCTGGGATCTCCATTATAGCCGCCATCTCCAATGCCTTGTTGCTTGTTCCTGGGTTGGCTGAGGGCTCCTTTGACACGACTTGTTGTCTGGCTGATCTGTGCGTGGGATACGACATTTCCTGCGCTTGTTGTGTGGGTGAGCCCAGCTTGGATAACAGCCGTGCCTCCAAGATTGCGTTTGCCTTGTCTACAGGGTTTTGGTGGCTACGTGGAATCACAAACACAGCGGCCATGGCGGAGGCACTGACAGAAAGCGTGGCGAGTAGAAGTTTCATGGTAATTTGTAACAACTATAATATTAATAATAATAGTAATGAGACTGGCGTGTGTTTGTGTGTATGTATGTGTGTGCTATTGTAAATAAAAAATAATGTTTGACAAGAAAATTGGCTACCACTGGCTTGACAGCTTATATACATGTTGAAAGCAAAGTGACATTACATTCAGCTTGACGTATACTTCATCTGGATACCTTATTTGCTTTGTTTTTTGTTTATATATCGTGCACTCCCCATTATTCCGGGGTTGTCATTTGATCATCTTATATTTTTAAAAGACAAGAGCATTTTTATTAAAATACGGGGACAGGTAAAGAAAAATCATCCCCACTTTACTACAATTATCCAAGAAAAAATCTACAAGAAAATCTGGAGAATCGGGGAAACCCACCCCCCTGAAAAACAACAGAACTATCGTGGAGATTGGCACAATCCACAATTGTTGGCTGGTGAAAAGAAAAACAAATGAAAGACAAGTCTTGATTTTGGAAAACGGCATTTCTCGATCAACCAACGTTTATGCTAGTGCAGACACCGCTCGTGTCAAGGAATACATTCAAACGATCGGGTCTGTAGTCCATAGTCATCATGCAGTTATTGCCCTGGAGAATGCGGCGGGCTTCGGGAAGGGACTCGACGCTAAACTCCTTGCTCTCATCGAGTGAAATCCCGTTTGCAACCAAGTCCTTCTTCTTGACAAACGTCTTGCCGAGTAGATGCTGGTACTTGTTGTGTAGATCCTGCTCCTCCTGCTTCATACGCTGGAGAGTGTCGTGATGCTCGGTAAAATCCATTGTGTAATTGTAAAAATATTGGTAATATTTGAAGTAAAAATTGATAATGGCTCAAACTTTTTAATGAGAATTGAACAAAAACATTTCTTTAAGAAATCCTGGACGCAAATGATGCCTTATGTGCCGCGTCATGCCAACTTGGCTTGCTTAATATAAATAGCTGCTAATTTAATATCCTGCTTTGTCATATGGGGACACATGCGCGCAAATAAAAAATACACGATTTATACAGGCTGTAAACAGGCGGATTAGGGTGGACTAGAGCGTTGTGCCATGTAACTCAAATATTGTGGATTATACTGGAACGCCTAGAATTAGTATTATAGTAAAATTGCATGTCCAAAGCAGTCATAAACCTAATTATTCGCCGCAATCAATAGTGTTTGTCCGACTGCCCGAGTTTATAATTGCTTTTCAAAGCAAACAAAAAAGCAATAAGATATGGACTAAAGATTTGGTGTTTAAAAACCTGCCTGTAGATGCGCCATTATTGTCCAGAATTGAAATTGCGGCATTGCTGAACTTATTATGTTTTGTCCGAGCAGAACTCAAAAATAAGCAAGCAGCAATCGGCCCAACCCAAGGAATTGGTTGTATCGAGGAACGTAAGCGTTAAAAAAAAGAGAGAAAGGGCAAAATAACTATCCTATTTTGGATAATTATTTACGCACATCATAAGGAAATCCTCCCTTTATTATCATCCTCGCCCAAGATATCCAAGCCTTGGAAAAGAACAAGGCCGAAATAAAATTTTGTCTGACAGAAAAAAATTCTCGCTTTGGTTGATATATTTTGCGGCAGAATTGCAGAAGTACGTGAATCCCAATAATAATAATGTTTTTTGTTGTTTCGTACCGTTATCTATTTTTTATAAAAAGCCGTTTAGGAGCCTCAGGCCTTTTCCATTATCTTTTTCTTTTTATAAAAAATATATTGTTTTATTATTTTACGACTTGCCAATTTTACGACACTTAAAAAACTTTATTTTTTAATTTGATTCAGCCTGCCTTTCCATTCTATCTCTCTTTTCAACGCGTCTGCATACTTTTTTTACCTACTTGCACAACCAACAATACAACCAAACCCAAACAATTGGACTTGCTGTGTCTGACACACGCACACTCAAGCTTATATATTGACTGTGCATCAAGCGTTGGCAGCTACAACTGACCGCAAAAGTATAAAAAACAACACTTTTTTAATTAATCCCTTTTTTTAGTATCCTAGGTTACACCTGCCATATCTAGTCGTATTGGAGGGCATGTATACTCACACATACCAAGGACCACGCAGACATAAAAAACGAGACAACAATTCGCTGTGGAAGCCCTCCGAGTACTGTTTCTAGTTGGTATTAATTATTTGTTATTTATATCTACACTTTGTTTTCTGCCGTCCCATCCTGTCTACAAATTTTGTTATGCCTGGATACCCGCACATCTGATCACCGTTATAGCACAGACCAACCAGTAACCATACCAGTGATAACAACAGCACCGGCACCAGCACCAGCACCAGCAACAACAGTTAAAAATACAAACAAAAGATCATACAGACAGACAGACATACAACAAAAGCCGCATTAATAAAATGCAGTCTCCGGGCAACGGCATTGGTAGGGGCAGCGGCGATGAAAACAGTTTTTACGATTCCTTTAATAATTTGAACCAGCCAACGAAACATCTCCAAAATCAGCAACAGCAGCATCAACACCGCAAATCAGCCGATCTTACGCTGCGCAGGCGCCAGAACCGCGACGCGGCAGCCCGACACCGCCAAAGACAAAACAACAAACTCGATCATCTTGCGCACAAAGAGGCAGTGCTGAGCCAACAAGTGTCGGAGATGCAGCTTGAGATTGAGTTACTGCGAAACAGTCAAGCAGGCTTGACGTTGCCTACACGAGATCCTTTTACTGCGTGCATCAAGGCAATGCTCGACCAGGTAAGTGAGCTGCATAATGACGTGAAGCACTACACTGAGAAAAGCCAGGAGCTGATTTTTGAAGTAAGTTTTGAACATTACATTGCTAAAAAATACAATGGTGCGTATGATATGGAACAGCATTTTTTGGATATATTATGGCACACACATAAAACTAATGTTTTTTAATATTCTATTGTTAATTTAGCTTCAAAATTTGGCAAGCTCGTTGACTCAAAACAAAGACAGAAATGGAGATGGAGAAGGAGGACAACGGCTTTTGCACAAGGACCAAAGGTGAAAACCAATAGCACTAATAGCAAAACACTTCTGTATATTTTCAATAAAATATTTTGTATATCACGTATAATGTCAACCAATAAATTATTTTGCAAAAAGCATTGCTCCAAAAAATTGCTTAAAGGTTTGGAAATGCACAATCAATATTAAATAATTAAGATAAACTAAACAATTGAAATACACAAGCCGTGTAAAATTATTATACTTGTGATATCACCTGAGATTGTACGTTGTTTTATTTATATTTTTATGATAAAGACTTTAATATGTCAATAGCATTTCTAGCCCATTGGCGCTGGCCATCGTCGAATATTTAAGCTCATCTTTGTCATTTTGCTTCTGCAATATTCTTGACACAACTGCGCAAAAATGATAAAACCAACAGCGTATTTTTGTCAAAATTTTCTTTGCAGCAAGTGTTGCCAGCGAGCAGCAACACCGCCTTCTCAGCTGCAGCCAACATATGGCCGTTTGGCATGAATCTCGATTTGGCACTATAGTTTGCAAGTAGACAAGTTGCATGCTTACTAGGGGCCGAGGAACTGCGAGTGGATAACACACTAACGAGAATACCAGTTAGCTTAGGACCAAACTTGCCCCCAAAGCATGGGCCCTTTTACTCGCAAGGGCTTGTGCTGAAAACATTTCAAACAGCGCAAAGCATTTGTCCCAAAAAGGGAGAGGGGAGAGAAGGAAAGATGATCATTAAGGGCAAAAGCGGAAATGGTTGCAAAATATAAAATAAAATCCGACAACTGGAAAAAGAAATAAGGGGCAAACCAGCATCAATCAATCAACCAGCCATTCCGTTGACTTTCATTTTTTTCGCTTCTTTTCATTTTTTATTTTTTGGCAATGCTAATTGACACCCTTTTATTTTTTTACACTCTCTATAATCATGACGGACTCGAATATACCCATGGAATTCCCAGGTGCTGCGGGCAGGCCGTTGAGAAACCCTGACGCATCGACTGTCTCAGCAATTTCATTTGCTGCTGGCCAAAGTACCACTTATGCCAACGACAGCATCGCCACCAGCCAGCCTCCTCGTCACAACGATGCCGCGACAAGGTTTAACACAGAGAACCAATCGGCTGATGTGTTGATGGACAACGAAAACGACAATGACAACGACGAGTACGACGAAGACGAAGACGAAGACGGATGGCCAGAAAGCCAATCTCTTTTCACTGTACACAACCACACCAGCCACCCGCTCAACACTCTCTCAAACATAAATCCACGTCAGTCCAGAGGCAGTGTTGGCAGCATTGGCAGCATGATACCCTACGATAGCGCCTTTGGCAGCCACGAAACAGACGTTATAACCGACAACCCAGGCATGATTAATGGGCACCCGGCATCGCCACGCTCAATAAGGAGACTGCGCAACCGAATGGCTGCCGCTCGCATGCGTACACGGCAGAAGCAGCATCTGGAAGACCTCGAACAGCGTAAGGAGAAGTTGGAGCAGCAGGCGGCGGATTTGGAGAGTGAGTTGCGTGCAGTTCAGCGCAAGAATAACCCGCTAAACTCATCTATCGACAAGCTGTCAGAGATGATCGATGACTTGACAAAGGTCGAGTCCACCATGCTCTCAGGTATAGACGAGTGCAAGAGCCTGCTAAAGAACCTTGAGAGACTATACTGGGAGCGAAATCCCTGACGCATCAAAATAAACATATTTTTAAGAGCGCTGTGGCACCCTTACATTTTTCATATATTTTTACATACTCTCTCCCTCTCTTATTTAGCGAAACTGTGAAATAATTTTTCAAATGCATATATAATAATACTACACATTTTTTAACTATTTCGCACATATCAAATATTCCTATAAAAATTATAGCAGGTTCAGTTGTCATCAAGCAAGAATGAAATGGGAATGCGAGACGTGGTCTGGCTGTTGGCTTTGGAGCCAGACCGAGACCGGACTGTGGAGGTAGTAGGATTAGCGTTCCAATATAACTCAGATGCCGACTCAACCCTAGTAATGCCACCCATCCTATCGCTGACACTGTCAGTGCTGCTGGTGCTGCCTCTTGCGTCCAATGGTGCTGATATCACTTCCATAAAACCCGATGATGGCGATGACAACGACGACCTTTGGCGCATATTGAACTCTAAACTGGCAACTTGATCGGACAGCAACTTCTTCAGCACATTAATGCGCCCAGCGCAGACACCAAGCCAATGCCTAGCGCCCTCCAGCAACATGATTATCTGGTACGCCTGCGTATCAATCTCCAAATTACAATTGCTCTGGCTATACTTGACTGCCTTTAGCAACATTAATCCCTGGGCAGTAAGGCTGTGAAAACCGGCAGCAGCAGCAGCAGTAAGACTAGCAGCAGTCGACATCACCGTGTTGTTGTCTAGAGATGCAGAGATGGTGTGCTGCAATGATTGCAAGTAGTTTTCTAGTCTGAGAATTTCCTTGCCGGTCTTCACAACCTTGAGTCTCTGGCGCTCGCGCAGGCGTGCGGATGACTGGCGGCTCTGGTAGCGACGCCGGCTCTGCGGAGACATGTTTCCTTGGTCTTCGATGGTCTCTTGGTTGGCACTGGCGGATCCAGTATTATCCTTGACTCTGTTCATTGTTGTAGACGCAGAACTGACGATGATATTGCTTGAAAATCTGTGAACGTTACTCTTGGGCAGGCTGTGATAAACTCCCGCATTTTCCTGCTGCTGTTGCTGTTGCTGTTGCAAATGTTGATAGTGTTTGTGCCTGTGCATTGTGTTTATAAGATAGTAGTGGAATATTGTGGCACCATGCACAACCGATTGTATATCAAAAATACGTTAAAACCCAAGTCACATTAAATTTGATTATTAGCATCGATCTCGAATGGTTTTATTTGAATGTACAAAATATTGAGTAGAGAGTACTTTAATTGTTTGGTTATGTTGATGGCCATAATAACAAAGCTACACAGGATAGTAACAAACAAGTTATAAGAGGACTACAAATACTAGCATACACTATTGCAAAATATGATAGCAAATAAAAATAAAAAAGCATGATTCTGCAGTGCCAATACATTTAAAAATATCACTGTAAATACAATGGTGAATTTGTTGTGAATATTCCCTTACCTTGTTTGATAGTTAGCAGTCAGATCAATGAGCAATATTATTAAATGCTGTCAGTATAAAAAGTGAGTGCTCAATTCAGTTCAGTTCAGTTGCGGTGGAGCAAGTAAAAAAGGCAGGAAATTATATACAAACTAAAGGCGACAGTGGTTTCTTGCTGGTGGAGAGTAAAAAAAGTATAAAAAAGTTAGCGCGCTAGTTTGTGCAATATAAATATAAAGTTTGGCTACAAAAACAGGTAATTAGAAGGTTACAATAAGAAAATTATAAAGTAGAGCCAGGGGTATGGTAGGGGATATACTTTAATCAAAGTAACAATTAAAATAATACGAAACGGGAGAGGGGAAGAAAAAAGAGAATAGAGGGAGAACAAGAGCAAGGGGAAGTAATAAAGCCCAGAAGTAAATAAAAACAGCTAGGAGTAAAAAAAGGAACAAACAAAACTTGATATCATGTCATGGCAAGCAAAAATCAGGATAGTAAAAGCGTTGTAAACAATTGTATTCGATGGCAAGGAGGCACTCATAAAACAAATTTTGGGGAGGCATTAAACATGGTGAATGACAACACCATGCATATTGAGGCTTGTCACAATAAATAATTATAAATAGTGATGTAAAAATTAAGTGACAAAAACAAATAGACATCCGTCATCTTTTTATTACAAGCGCAATTTTGCCATGCAAATTTGGAAAAAGAAAATTGAAAATAAGCAACCACGTGAAAATGTTCATCTTGCAGTCACTACAGAATAATATCATGCAATGTGAGTGACGTCATATGCTGATAAACAAAAAATTGAAATATTCCGCCGACCACAGCCTCGCCTGTGAGACTGAATAGTTATTTTTATATTGTGCACTAGATATTTTTGTAAACCAATAGGTGGTGAGAATTACCACATAAGGTTGGCTGAGCCGAGAGCTCGCGAGCTAAGTCGATTCCGAGCGGGGATTTGTTATGTAGAAGGGGGGTGTGGGGAGCACTATTGTAATAGTGTTAGAAGGATAGGTGTTAAATTATAACGTTTTATTACTAGTGTTTCTAAAGTGCTATTATTGCCGGCCTCGCCTTATATATATCTCCTTGTCTTTGTGGCACTCACTGGCAGTTGTGTGCTCCGTTCGCGAGAACTGGTACTTATGAAAGTAACCTGGGTCTCTGATATGGCATAATTGGCATGTCTGTATTCTTGCGCCCAGTACATCCATTTCGGGACAGGCAGTATGTCTAGATATCAATTGTGGCGCCTAATTTGATCCCCTGTAATTTGGCCCATATCAGATCCATCTGTGAGCTGACGAGAATCTGTCTTGTGATTATTGCCCTCAGCGTCTACCTCCATATCCTTGGGCTGCGTAACACATTGATGCAGTACCAGCTGAGAAATCATTCAGTCATTGTAGCTCTCTGCCTATAAAATGGCAGAATGGGAAGGCTCGATAGAGGATTTCCCTAGTTTTTGTTTTAATAAAGTTTTATTGGACCCATCAATTCTGACGTACACCACACAATATGATAAATATTAATTGTAATGTGCGTTGGCGGGCAGCAGCAGCATTGGACAATTTTTTGTTTAGTTTAAGGCCTTTTCTTTCCAAGGGAAATATCACAACAACCACACATCATACATCACACATCACACGGCATGCCAGCTATCTGCATTGGTGTCTTTGCATCGTTCAGTTGCTTCTGCACTTTCATTGCTGTTCAGAAGCCAGCCTTTTCAGTTCAACAGCGCCACTATAATGTTACTATAAATATCCAGAAAATTGGTTTTGAGAAACCACGGTGCAAAGTCGAGCACAGCGCAGCTGTACAACAAAAGAAAAATAGACGAGACTTGCGCCACTGTCTGACCAAGCAAATGCACTAAAATCAATCACAATGATGACCAGTTTTTGG